AAATCGCCTCTGAAGACTCCAAGAAGGTTCCTCACTCCACCTAGTGTTTGCCTGGTGGAAGTCCTGCATTTCTGTGAAGTTCCACAATCCATCAAGAACAAATACGAGGGTTGAATTACTTGGGTTTGGATGGGAATATTTTAATAAATCAAATGCAGAAATAATCCTTAGAATGTGCTCTTTAACTACCACTATTCACTTTTCTACATAATCACCAGACAATTGGATACATTTCTGCCAACGATGGACAAGTTTTTTGAAGCCATCATGGAAGAAGTCGACAATCTGTTTTCCAAGGTGTTTTGGCTTGGAGAAGGATCCTGGGCCTGACCCAAACCCCTGCTCTACAGGTTGAACCTACTCAAATCCACATCTGAAACACCATGGTGTAGTGGATTGAATATTGGACAAGGATTGCAGGAGACGAGGGTTTGAATACATGTTCAGCCATGGAAGACCAATGGGAGACATTCAGCAAGGCACATTTTCCCAGCCTAAGAAGAAGGCAGTGATGACAAACTTCTCCTTAATAAATCTTTCCAAAGAGTCCTATGATAGAGTTTCCATAAACTGAAGTTGACTTGAAGGCAGGAAACAACAAAACATTTGAAAAAGGCCAGTGTTCCCCCTTTTAATTTGGAAACTCCAGATACCATATTCTTAAAATCCTCTTTCTCTAGTTCTAAAATCCCACTCTTGAACAATTTATAACTTTTCCCCATATTTGAAGAATTTGTTGTTAGGCCTTATCTGCCTTGGATTGGCAACCATTAATTCATTTCCAGTTCCTTTGTTTTTAACAGTAGTCCTTAAACGCCTACTGGGCTTGTTTGATAAAAAAAAAAATGATTCAAAACATATTTTGGATGTATTTTGGATGCTGGTGGTTCGATTCTAAAGTCAGTTCCTATTTTCACATAAAAAAATGTTCAAAACTTTTTGAAACTTCCGAGACTTCAAATCCTTTACTGTTTCATTGGGTGGTCTTTACTTTGAAAGTAGCTGTTTTGCTCCAGAAGCAGGGAAAAGCAAGCGGAGGAAATTCCTTCCTTCTCTGGTTTAAAACTGGCTTCTCTGGCTTGAGCCAAGGCCAGGAAATTCCTTCCTTTTCTGGTTTAAAACTGGCTTCTCTGGCTTGAGCTAAGGCCAGGAAATTCCTTCCTTCTCTGGTTTAAAACTGACTTCTCTGGCTTGAGCCAAGGCCAGGGACCAGAAGCAAGGAAAAACAAGCTGATGAAATTCCTTCCTTCTCTGGTTTAAAACTGGCTTCTCTGGCTTGAGCTGAGGCCAGGGACCAAGAGCAAGGAAAAGCAAGCTGAGGAAATTCCTTCCTTCTCAGGTTTAAAACTGGCTTCTCTGGCTTGAGCCGAGGCCAGGGACCAGAAACGGGAAAAAGCTGAATCATTTCCAACTCACTTCATGGGTTGTAACAAAAATGGTGGGAAAAGCTTCAGTAGGGCAAAGGGACTTTTCTTAAAAACTTCAAAATCGCTTCAAAAAGGTAATGTTTCCAACTTTATTCCGAATTACAAAGATTCTGACAGTACCTAACCATGCCCAAAACCTACATTAGCAGAATAAATTTTCCATCTCAGGCTGAGGAAGAGAAGTATTATTGTCAAAGGCTTTCATGGCTGGAATCACTGGGTTGTTGTAGGTTTTCCGGGCTACATGGCCATGTTCTAGAGGCATTTTCTCCTGACGTTTCGCCTGCATCTGTGGCAAGCATCCTCAGAGGTAGTGTGGTGCCTCACCACCTCTGAGGATGCTTGCCATAGATGCAGGCAAAATGTCAGGAGAAAATGCCTCTAGAACATGGCCATATAGCCCGGAAAACCTACAACAACCCAGAAGTATTATTATTATTATTATTATTATTATTATTATTATTATTATTATTACCCTGCCTTTCTCCCCATAGGGACTCAAGGCGGCTAACACCCCACACTAAACAAGTTTAAAAAGTGCAATAACAGTGTGGTAAAAACAGAATTACAATACAGTAAATAAATACACTACAATGACCTTTAAGACTCATATTCCCCCCAATCCCACCCAATCTCCCCAAAGCCCGCCCCATTATCTGCCTGCAATACTAATGAGTGCAAGCCAGGCTAGGCTCACCCAATGTTGAGGCTCAGCAGCAAGATGCTGGAGATTTCTCAGAGGACAAGGGGGATGATGGCTTTCCTTCTAAGCAGTCTGTGCATGATCAGAGAGAATTGCAGGCTCTAGATCAGCAATTGCAGTTTTAGTGCTTTGAATGCGATCAGGAAAATTTCTTAGCCACGGGTTGAACGGCATGGCCCACGAAGACTTTTCCAACTCTATGATTCTATGATTCTATGACATAGAGGATGTTTGGGATTCCAATGTTTGTTCCTTAGCAACCAGGGAAAAGTTGTTTCTCTTAGGAATTGACCTTCAGCAGAAGATGGGGAGTTTTCTCTGCATCAGAAAGACTGACCCTGTGCTAAGTCCTTGAGACCCAGGCTTCTTAGTCAGGCCTGAGCTTAAATTAAGTGATGTTTACTTGGTGCCTCCAGAACAGACAATGTTGCAATAGACTCAAGTTCCTGTTTCAGCTGTCAAGCTCATGATTCAAGTCTGCTGTGTTTGCCTATGTTCCTGTAAGGGTTTTGCCTTGGAAAAGTTCTGTTTTCATGCTTATGGATTTATGCCTATGATCTTGACTTCCTGGATTCCATGTTCCTTGCTGTTTTGGACTACTGAACTTTGAATAAGTGGACTACTGCTATTTTCACCTTTTCTATTGCTTTTTGGGAAATACCATTTTTCCCTTTTTTCCCTTTTCTAAATAAACTGCTGTTGTTAGATACAACTGGACTCTGGTTTGGCGCTGGGTGAAAAGGTGTTCCAAGGCTAAAGTGGAACACCCAAGAGCAAAGTCAATAAAGTAAGCAGCATATCCTCCTCCATAGAAGTTGGGATATATTCCAGATTCTTCTTTTCTTTTCTTTTCTTTTTTTGGTAGAGGGGGCAGTTAATACCCTCTTTGTGGAAACATTAAAAAGCCACCATAAATAGGCAACCACATGCCCACCAATATTTCTCAAATGAAAACTGGGGAATGTGTGGTCAAGCTACATGTGTATGTGGTCAAGATGGCAAAAGTTATCAGAGAAGAACAGACAAGCTAAGGATTTTGTCAGACGGCTGTATTGGGAAACATTGTTAAGTTAACTAAAAAGAGGAATTAGGAGCCTATCGTACCTTCCAGTCCTCCCTCACTCATTCTCCTCTCATCAGACTTTTAGTCTTCCCCATAGGCGCCTGCTATCTTCCTCATCACACATAGGCAATAAGTCTCCGACCCCAGCTTTTTTTCTTCATGCAAATCTGCCAGAATACCTTTCCATGGGATCCAATTGTTCTGCATCTAAAGCCATTGGATCCTTGAGGCAGGAATGCTCTTTCAAATCATTGCTTTCCATAGGATGCAATTGTTTTACATGCTGCAAGTCACTTCTGGTCGCTTCTGGAGTGAGAGAATCGGCCATCTACGAAGACGTTGCCCAGGGGATGCCCGGGTGTCTTGCAATCCTGTGAGGAGGCTTCTCTCATATCCCCCCCGGGCACATAGACTCCCCCCCTGGGCACACAGAAAACTGGGTGACTTGGAAGGCGCTGAACAGACTGCACTCTGGCACCACGAGATGCAGAGCCAACCTTAAGAAATGGGGCTAGAAAGTGGAATCCACGACATGCGAGTGCGGAGAAGAGCAAACCACAGACCACCTGCTGCAATGCAGCCTGAGCCCTGCCACATGCACAATGGAGGACCTTCTTGCAGCAACACCAGAAGCACTCCAAGTGGCCAGATACTGGTCAAAGGACATTTAATCAACTACCAAACTCACAAATTTTGTGTTTTGTCTGTCTGTTTGTTTGGTAAAAAATGCAATGCAACTGTTTGGTCTGCTCCTGACACAATAAATAAATAAATAAATAAATAAATAAATAAATAGTTTTACATTAAAATCCATTGGAGCCTTGAAACAGGGATACTATTTTAAACCACTTCTTTCCTTAGGAAGGTGTAATCATGCATTTCTACAAACAGGGATGACAGCTCTCTGTTAAGTACAATATTATAATTGGAACGAACCAGCAAAGGAAAACTGACTTTTCTCTGTTCTACAATCCCTCTATTATGCTATATCAGTCATTTATATATATATTAAAGAAGTCTGTGAAGAGAAGGAGTTATTATGCAGTTCTGTAAAAAGGGATAACATGCACTGCTAAGGACCACCCATCCGAACACCCCTTTTCACCATGGTAAGCTCCAAAACAGAACAGAGACTGTCACGAATCCCATCACATGTTGCTTTGAGGCAAAACAACAGGTCCTTAGCAATATTTTGGCTAAATTCACAAATTCCTTTTTTTTAATTATAGTTTTTATTGAGTATTTTATAGAGTTACAGGGAAAGTGGGAGAATATTTGCAAGAAGATAGGAAAGTAGGAAACAGTGAAGTAAGAGAAAAAAAGAAAAAAAGAATTTAGGGAGAAAAAAAGCAAAATGTCTCAAAAGTAAAATAAAATAAAATAAAATAAAATGTGAAGATCTTCTAGACTTCCTGAGTATCGTGATGGAGGTGTCCTTCTTTCACAAATTCTTGCAGTGATTACAGATCTACCCAAATTCACAAATGGTCTAAGCATACTGGGAAAGGCAAGTTTCAGCCCCTTCACCTCTTCTTTCCTGGTGTGCAAACTACCTCTGCCCTTTAAACTTAGTTTCCAGCAAAATAAAATATCCAGAAATAAAGAGGGAAAATCAGAGGAGGAGAAACAAATTGGGACATTTTTTAATATGGCTCTAAAAGCAGAACAACAGAAGATGAATCCGGACTCTCTATCACACTGGAATAAGTGGATGGCATGCAACCGGAGCTCCAAATGTTCTCTCTCTCTCTCTTCCTCTCTCTCCCTCTGGCTGTTAACTCCCAGAATGCTGCAACTAGCATGGACAAAGGACTTCTGGAATGTGTGGTCCAAAATAAGTTTATTTTGTCCCCTGAACTCTTCATGCAACCAAGTCTTGCTGCAGCTGTTATCGATATTTTGGGGGCATTTCAGTGCAAAGTTGCTGATTGGAACAGCCCTTCTACAGCTAGTCCTAAAAAGGGGTGATAATCACAGGGAGAAGCATCCAGGCCTTGTTGTTTTGATCCTGTGTGCTTTGTTTATTAACAGTAAAAGCAACAACAAGCAATAGGGGCTGCGGTTCCCCCCTCTGACTCAATTCAGCGAGGAGATTCACAATGCCCTGTGCAGACTCATTTTCCTTCCGGCATTCACTGGATCAAGTCATTTTCTTCCCCACTGGGAGGGCAATGGTTTTAGACAATGTTATTCTTCTGTTCCTGGTGCTCCTTCTGACAAAGGTTTCAGTGCCTCGCACAATATTTCATCCCAGACATCTGGACTTAGGTAAGCTGTACCTGAAATATATTTGTGCTGGTTCTAATTTATGTATGGGCATTAAGAGTTCTCTCTGTGTGTTTCCAAGCTTTGCTCCAGTACCTCTCAACCTGTGGTCCCCAGATGTTTTGGCCTACAACTCCCAGAAATCCCAGCCAGTTTAGCAGCTGTTAGGATTTTGGGGAGTTGAAAGCCAAAACATCTGGGGAGCCACAGGTTGAGAACCACTTAGCAGATGGTTTATATACAGAAATGACGTCACAAAAAATGTTTTGCAGCATGGAAATAAAGTGGTAGAAAAATGTCCTCTTTCCATAGCTAAAGAAAAAGTGAGAACCAACATAAAACCATGCAGATTAATATTGAACTCCTAGGGTACTAATAATGTGAAGATCTGAGTTCAAATCCCACTTTAACCATCAAACATAATTGGTTGACCTTAGGCTAAATTACAGTTGTATTGTCGAAGGCTTTCATGGCCGGAATCACTGGGTTATTGTAGGTTTTTCCGGGCTATATGGCCATGTTCTAGAGGCATTTTCTCCTGATGTTTCGCCTGCAACTATAGCAAGCATCCTCAGAGGTAGTGAGGTCTGTTGGAAGTAGGAAAATGGGTTTATATATCTGTGGAATGACCAGGGTGAGACAAAGGACTTTTGTCTGCTGGAGCTAGGTGTGAATGTTTCAACTGTCCACCTTGATTAGCATTAAATTACAGTTGTTGCGAGGTTAAATGGGATAGGGTGAGAATCACTTATGCTGCCTATTCTTCCACATGGCAACGGCAGCGAGAATTGTACTAGCAAGAAAATGGAAGAATAAAGAGAAATCAATAGTGGAAGAATGGATAATCAAACTTCTAGATATAATAAATATGGACTCTCTAACACAGCATTTGGAAAATAAACAGACGACAAGCATAGCCAGGACGGATTGGTCTCCAATCAAAAAATACTTCAAGATTAACCAGATTTAGACACGTTAGAATTAAGACAAGAAAATAATAACACTAATAATGTTTCATGGGGCAAAATGGAGAAATAAGACCAAGATTAAAAACTTGGATGTTTGAACAGGCATTCGGTTAAACAGTGCAATGTATGTGATGATCACAGGAATGGAAATTTGGACGACGGATTGGATCACGACTCTAGTTATAAGATGCATTGTGTTGTCTATTGTTGTGTCAGTATTGTATATTATGCTTTTATGGTTTTAAATTGTATATCGTTGATTGATTCTTATCCTTGTTGTAAACCGCGTTGAGTCGCCTGTTGGGCTGAGAAACTGCGGTATACAAGTAAAGTAAATAAATAAATAAGAACCCTCCCCCGACCCATTCCCCAACCCCCACATTTCCCCGACCCACTTCTACCCCTTCAATTCCCCCTACCCTTCCTGAACCTCTCCCCCCCCATCCCCATTATTTGTTTTTATGTAATGGTTAAGTTGAAGACTCTCTTAACTTGGATGTACCCCCATCTTGAAAACCCTTAATTAAACTATTTTTAAAAAAAGAGAATCACGTATGCTGCCTTGAGATGCTGGGACAAATGACAAGATTATATTGTAGTCTATATATATAAAAAATGTAATGTTCATTTGTGGGATTAACATAACTCAAAAACAACTGGGCGAATTGACACCAAATTTGGACACAGTACACCTATCAGGCCAACAAGTGACCATCACTCACAAAAACACTGAAAAACACAGCAGAAGGTATTTAAAAAGCCAAAAAAAATTACATTACAACGCATGGGCAAACACACACACATATATATACACATACATACACAGACACACATATACACAAATATATATACACACAAAACACATATACACAGACTGGGCTACAGCAACGCATGGCAGGTGATGGCTAGTAACAAAATAAAAAATGAAATCAGTGAGACTTTCTATACTTTGGGGGCATGCTTGCATATATTTAGACAGTCTGATATCAAGCCCATATGAATACAGAATAACGTTTTAGGTTTAATATACTGAGGGCATAAGCCTAGACCCATCTTTTCAGTGGAAGTTCTGTAAAGGATGCTAGTTTAAGGCTTGATGAAGAAAGGATTAGGGAGACTCTCCTCTTTGAAAGAAACCATCTTCCACATGTAGAGAGCAATGGAAAAGTGAGAGGAGAAGCTGGATGAGGCTACAATGCTCCTTGCTCTTTGTGTATTTATCAAATACAGAAATTCAAATGCCAGAAGACATCTAATATGGGAGCTGCATTCCTACTGTTACTGATGCTCTCTGTGTCAATGGTGTGCCTTCTGTTTCAGTAGACCAGTGTTTCTCAAACTGGAGGTCGGGACCCCTGGGGGGGTCACAAGGGAGTGCCAGAGGGGTCACCAAAGACCATTAGAAAACATAGTGTTTTATATTGGTCATGGGGGTCTTGTGTGTCAAGTTTGGCCCAATTCTATCGTTGGCGGGGTTCAGAATGCTCTTTGATTGGGACTATAAATCCCAGCAACGACAACTCCCAAATGTCAAGGTCTATTTTACCCAAACTCTACCAGTGTTCACATTTGGGCATATTGAGCATTCATGCCAAGTTAGGTCCAGATCCGTCATTGTCTGAATCCACAGTACTCTCTAGATGTAGGTGAACTACAACTCCCAAACTCAAGGTCAAAGCCCACTGAACCCTTTCAGTAATTTCTATTGGTCATGGGTCTTCTGTGTGCCAAGTTTGGTTCAATTCCATCATTGGTGGAGTTCAGAATGCTCCTTGATTGTAGGTGCACTATAAATCCCAGCAACTACAACTCCCAAATGACAAAATAAATCCCCTCCAACTCTACCAGTATTCAAACTTGGGCGTATCAGATATTTGTGCCAAATTTGGTCCAGTGAATGAAAATACATCCTGCATATTAGATATTTACATTATAATTAACAGTAGCAAAATTCCAGTTATGAAGTAGCAATGAAAATTTTATGATTGGGGTCACGACAACACGAGGAACTGTATTAAGGGGTCGTGGCATTACGAAGATTGAGAGCCACTGCAGTAGACTCTCGTTTTTAGTCCAAACTTGAAAGATGCTACCCAAGGTGATGAAGTCCAATCCTTCCCATAGTTTGAGCACCTTGGACAGCTCCTTTAAAGCTCAACCTGCTATCTGAGGTCACTAGACACAAATGCATAATGTTACAGTCCCTGCAGTACAATCAAATTATGGAGAGATATATATGGGAAGAAAGCAACCATGTAGGCAGGTTGGTCATCAGTAATCATTATCACCCTGACAAAAAGAAAATACCAATCAAATCAAGCATGGAGATCTAAAAGTAGGCATAAAGGAACTATTTTGCAATTGTTCTACCAGCTATGTTTCATTTATTCATGCACACTGTTCAGTTCTTCTTATGAGTGTATATGAAGTGGGGGCACTATCAATATTTATTTATTTACATCATTTTTATTCCATCCATTTCAGCCCGAAGGCGACACAGGGAAGCAATACGTTAAGTATCAATGCATTAAGTGGAGAAATTATCAAGAAGGATTTCAAATCGTCAAGCATGAATATGAAGGATACACACTCAGTAATACATAGCTGATTAAAATGATACTAATTTCCTTCATGTAATGTGTGAACAAAGAGCTACATGTATTATTCCTCCAGCACATGTCTATAGGGTTAGAAGTAGGAATGTTGTTGCTCTAGCACTGAAACTCCCTTTCACCCAGCACCACACCAGAGTCCAGTAACACTATCTATTAATGTTTATTAAGGAAAGCAGATACAAAGGGGAAAGGGGCATTTCCAAAAGGGTCAGTAGAATAGAAAATACAAAAAAGCAGTAATCCAAAAACAGGAAATACAAAATAGGAGTAATAAAAAAAATGGCAAAGTACATAAAGTCAAGAGAACCAAAATCCACAGCAGTTACTTAAACATGAATCCATAAACCAGAAAACACGAGCTTCTTCCAAGGCAAACCCTTACAGGAACAAAGACATGAACCAGAACAGGAAAAATGAATCATAGCTTGAGAACAGATACAGGAAACTCATCGTTTAGCAATGTTGTCTCCTCTGAGAGGCTTGAAGCCAGACTACTTAATGTAAGCCTGTCTAAGCACCCATGACATCATGTTGAACACACCTGGACTTCAAGGTCTTCTCACAGATTCTGTGAGAATATCTAGTTTGTCTGTTTTTTTACTCCCTCCATTCTCAGGCCTAATCTCCATCAGCCCAAGGACTTTCAATTACCAAATCATCAGCCTCCTCTGCCTACAATTCTCTCTCACACAAACTCTTGCTTTAAAAACCCATCATCCCCCTCATCCTCTGAAAAATCCTCTGACACTTGTTCTCAGGCTTCAAGTAACTGCTGTGCATTCAGTGGAAATGAAAATGGAGGTTTAACACGTATTGTATGCTGAAATTCATTTCACACTGCTTTCCATGCTTATATTACAGTATATAAATGGGGAGAGAACCTAAGCAAAATAGGCTGCCATGATTTCCAGAGTGTTTAACAATGCACATGAACACAGTTAGGTTAGAGAGTCCATATCCTCTAACCATCCTAATTTGATAGATACAGTCTCTATCAATTTTCTTGTCATTCCACTTTTCCAGCTGCTTTTAAAACATCACATTTTGCCCTACTCTTACCACTTTCCCAGTTTGTCCTCGGTTTATTTAAACTGAGTTTACCAATGTTCAATAATATGAGGAAGGTATGGAATTTAGCTCTTCCAAGTAGGATCAAGCAAAAGGAAACTGCTGCAGTCACTCTTAATTTATGTGTTCTTCATGAATAACAGATGACCATACATTGGTGCTGCTTGGCCACACATGGCCTGGTTTTTATGTCTAAAATGTTGGACGGCATGGCAATCTTCTTGACCGTTTGGAAACTATTTGAAATTGGTCTTCTGTATCCACAAATTCTGTATCTAGTGTTTCAGCCATCCACAGTTTTTAAATGCTTATTAAAATGTCCAAAAGTAAACCTTGTTTTTACTATTTTATATAAGGGATAGCATTTTACTACACCATTGTATATGATGGGACTTGAGCACAGAGGCGGCCCTAGGTAATTTGACTGTTGCAATCCAGAGCAGGGAACGAGGCCCTAAGATAACTATCCACCACACTTGGCTGTGAAAAACAATCCTTTTTTATTGAAGAAAAATGGTTACAAAATAAAGGAAAAATGCAAGTCAAAAGCCACAGCAAAATCAGCAAACATGAATTTAAATGGACAAAGCAAAACCAAAAGCCTCTCTGAGAAATACTTGAATCTGTTAGCAATCCACTAACCGTACTTGATATCCTAGAAATCTTTCCATACTATGGCCAGGGAACTGGGAGAACTGCCAAGGTCTTCATCAATTCTGAAACGATGCCTGAACTGAGGGAATCAGCCTGGCGTATTGCAATTAAAACTCAAGAATCGGTTCCGTGAACCGCCCTTCTGTTTTGAAGCCAATGTTTTTAATTCTTGAATTCGGGAGGATCGATGCAAACTGAGTGATTTACTTCTGTCTTCCCAAATTTGGCCCCTTCTGTTGTCATTACAGTTAACAGGTGCAGAAGGGAGGGAAAGTTCAAGGTCTCCCTCTGAAACATTCTCATGGAACACTGGTACTTTCATTTTCCAAATCTACAGAAGTTCCTTCCTCACTAATTTCAGGAACATTGGCATTTTCCAAACCTACAGCAGTTTCTTCCTCACTAATTTCAGGAGCATTGGCATCAAAAGGTACATTTCCACTAGCATCAGTAAATATACAGCATCAGGAGGAACAAACAGAGAATCAGGTTCAAGTTCAAACTCAGGCTGAACCCCAAACCCTGCTTGGTAAGCAAACAGTATTTTGGCACCCCCCCCCCAACCAATCACTGATACATATTTTCTGTTCGTCGTGGGGGTTCTGTGTGCCATATTTGGTTCAATTCCATCATTGGTGGAGTTCAGAATGATCTTTGATTGTAGGTGAACTATACATCTCAGTAACTACAACTCGCATATGTCGAGGTCTCTTTTCCCCCAAGAGCGCATCAAGAGCGCCCCTGGGCAAAATCTACTATACTGCAAATGCTTACTTCGCATAATGGTTGAGCCGCCCCTGCTTGAGCATCTATGGATCTTGATTTCTAGTGGGGGAACTAGAAGCAAAACCTAGTGGATACTGTACTACTGGTTCAAAATTCAGATTTTTTAAAAAATGATTCATTCTTTTGTCTTCTTTTTTTTTTTAGACTGGCCCCAAAACTGTGGTGTTGCATACTTCCAACCAAACATATATGCAAAGGTTGTTGCAGGCAATGAAGCGAGGCCTCATTCTTGGCCCTGGCAAGTTTCTTTACAGGTACAAGGTTTAAAACTGTAATTTTCATGATCATCCTCAGTCTCCTTTCTACACTGCCATATAAAATCTAGATTATCTGCTTTGAACTGGATTATATGGCAGTGTGGGCTCATATAATCCAGTTCAAAGCCGATAATGTGTATTATCTGCTTTGATAATCTGGATTATATGACAGTATAGAAGGGGCCTTACTTCTCCCACATTGCCAATCAGTTGAGCTGTTTCTGAACACAGCTGGTTTGCACCAGTTGTGTCCCTAAATTTCTGGTTATCGCAGTAGGCAATGTATGAGTCTCACCATTAACACAGCCCCACATATACAGTGTTATAACTGTAGCGTAATTGTCAGAGCAACAATCAAAACGCCATCATCCCTACTGGACAAGGATGCATCAACAACCATAAAGACATTTTCAAATTTACACAAAATATCAAGGAGAGAAATGATTAGGGGAGTGGAAACCAGGAGCAATATACTGAGTGTGTTCACTGTTATGAATCAGCAGAGTTTACATGCTTACATTCATGAATTGCTAGTTTGTATGCTTGTTCTGACAGAAGTTGACCGTAGAGCCACACTAGATGACCTGTAGATTGCTTGAGAGAATATATTAATCAAATCCACAAAAATTACAGTATGTTAAAATAAACATACGAATGTGGAAGCTATTTTATATGTTTTACAAAGAAGCTTTTGGGGGAGTGGATCTGAGACTGGTTGTTATTTGGTTTCTGACTTGCCAGTTTGATTACTCTGCTTGGGAGAAAAAGTGCTATATTTCCCATTTTCCAGTGTTCACTAGCTATGGGCTGACAGCAGTGGTAGACAAGGAGATATAGAATCAGGAGGAGTGGAGAACAGGATGGAATATCTTGTTGGTCTTACAAAAGAAAAAGAAAGAAAGAAAGAAAGAAAGAAAGAAAGAAAGAAAGAAAGAAAGATCCCCTTCTGAAAGTAATGCTTATTGTTTTGTAGACTAGAATGGCCTTCCAGGTGCTTTTGGTTGTATAACTGATTGTCATGGATACTAGAGTGACTCACTAAAAATTAGTGGACTCTATCATTATCGAACTTTATGATCTATGGCCACTTCTACACTGCCATATAAAATCCAGATTATCTGCTTTGAACTAGATTATATGACCATGTAGATAATGTGGATTATCTGTTTTATTAATCTGGATTATACGGCAGTGTAGAAGGGGTCTGAACTATAGTAAATAGCTATAGCATTCATATTGTTATAGAACTCTCTTTTGTCCTGTGCCCGGCACTACCATTTACATGCATTTTGTGCATTCATTCTCCCCCAGGTTCGCTCTAGACCAAGTGATAAATTTGTTCATGTGTGTGGTGGCACTCTCATCCACAAACGCTGGGTTCTCACGGCTGCTCACTGCTTCCAGAAGTAAGTCCTGTGTCGGGTGGGGATTCCTGGAGGTATTCCGGAAGATATTGGGACATTTCATGGCTACCTTTTGCACTGATTGGGGAGAAGGGAGCTTGCGAACCTTTCATCCCCGTTCTTGCTCCCACTCTATGTTCCTCCCAGGCCCCTTCTACACTGCCATATAATTCAGACAATCAAAGCAGATGATCCACGTTATCTGCTTGGAACTGTCTTATATGAGTCTATACCACCATATAATCCAGTTCAAGATAATCTGGAGTTTATATGGCAGTGTAGAAAGTGCCTCACTCTAACATTTCTTTCTCCCAGCTCCTCCTCCACTATTATCTCCCTAGCTGGGTTTAGTTTCTTGGTCAGTGAGTTCAATTGGGAGAAAAACAATCAAAGGAGAAAGGAAGAGCAAAGGGAAAAAGTGAAACACCTCCTGCCTGCTCTTTCTTCATCTCACTTCCTCCACACCCAGCTCAACCCCAACTACATTTAGCAAAAAGCAAGGTTGGAAACTTGTTTGCCATGGAATGACATTTATCAATTTGTCCCTTGGAGGAAGTGTAGAAAACCTCTTGGTACAGTCAGCCCTCCATATTCACAGATTCTGCATCCACAGATTTAAACATCCATGGTGGAAAATAAATTCCAATCTTAATTTTTCCATTATAAGGGTCAACATTTTACTGTGTTGTTGTATATAATGGAACTTGTGCATTTTGGAACCAGTGCATACCAATGGGTCTATTGCACTTATAGCTTTGCTATAATAATAATAGTAATAATAATCATATACTTTATTTATATTCTGCTCTATCTCACCAAGGAGACTCAGAGCGGATTACAGAATACATATATGGCAAACATTCAATGCCATTATACAATTAAGAAAGATAGATAATACATAGACAGAGGCAAGGCTTCCCTCTTTTTCATTTCTGGCATCTGGAGGCAGTGCTCGACCCGGCCATGGGGAGGTGCTGTTGCTCCATTTTTCCATGCCAAGGAACCTGTTGTCCATGGGCAAATTCCTGATTGAATTCCTGGAACGTCTTCAGGGGCACCTTTTACTTCCCCGCCTATTTATCTACCCCCATTGCTGTTTTTGAACTGCTAGGTAAGCAGAAGCTAGGGCTGACAGCAGGCGCTCACCCCAACCTGTGGCTTGAACTGCCAACATTATAGTTGGCAAGATTTTATATAGCTGGCGGTTTAAATCACTGTGCTAACCAGGATCCCTTCTTCTTCTTCTTCTTCTTCTTCTTCTTCTTCTTCTTCTTCTTCTTCTTCTTATTTGAAACACAACAAATAAGTCCACAGCAGACATTCTGCTGGATGTTGTATTGGATCACACGTCGGACACTTCCCAAGTGTCTAGGACTGTGTGATATATCGGCGAATAATGCGTGCAGATCCCAGTAAGGTGGCCTTTTGCAGCTGGCAGATGGTAATCTTGTCAGCGCCGACTGTGTTTAAGTGCAGGCCAAGGTCTTTAGGCACTGCACCCAGTGTGCCGATCACCACTGGGACCACCTTTGCTGGCTTGTGCCAGAGCCTTTGCAGTTCGATCTTTAAATCCTCATATCGTGTCAGCTTTTCCAGTTGTTTCTCTTCAATCCTGCTGTCTCCTGGGATTGCAACATCGACAATCCATATTTTGTTTTTTAACACGATCGTGAGGTCAGGAGTATTGTGCTCCAAAACTCTTGTCTGTCTGAATTCAGAAGTCCCAGAGTAGCTTGACGTGTTTATTCTTTGTAACTTTTTCGGGCTTGTGATCCCACCAGTTCTTTGTTGCAGGCTGATGGTATTTGTGGCACAAGTTCCAATGAATCATCTGAGCAACTGTGTTATGCCACTGCTTGTAGTCTGTCTGCACAATCTTCTTGCAGCAGCTGAGGATTTTTTTTGTGATGTCAGGAGCAACCTGAGAAACTGCAAGTTGCTTCTGGTGTGAGAGAATTGGCTGTCTGCAAGGACGTTGCCCAGGGGACGCCCGGATGATTTGATGTTTTATCATCGTTGTGGGAGGCTTCTCTCATGTCCCCACATGAGGAGCTGGAGCTGATAGAGGGTGCTCATCCGCCTCTCCCCAGATTCGAACCTGCGACCTGTCGGTCTTCAGTCCTGCCGGCACAGGGGTTCAACCCACTGTGACACCGGGGGCTCCAACAGCAGCTGAGGATGTGGTCTATTGTTTCATCTGCTTCCTTGCAGTCTACACTTGGGATCTGTCGTCAACAGATTGTTATTATTATTATTATTATTATTATTATTATTATTATTATTTCTTACCTTCCTCTCTTTGTGGCTCAAGTCAGGTTACAGAATAATTAAAAAACATAAACATTATAAAAACACCACAAATACACATATTAAATGAGTATGGTATTCTGTGATAGCTCTACTCAACATAGACGTGTAGACAAAAGAGTGGAGGGAGGGAGTACCTTGGAGATCAGTTATACAACATTCCTGATTCTATGCTTCTTCATTTCTAGAGGTTCAGCAGAAGATCTCACAAACTGGCGAATTGTTCTGGGCAAGCATAATCTGAACTACCTTGAATCCACGCAGCGCAGCTACCGCGTGAAGCGCATTTATCGGCACGAACAGTTCCAGTACCCTCTGCTAAACGATCTGGAGTACGACATTGCTTTGGTCAAGTCTGTGGGAGACATTACGGCCAACAGGTTTATCAATTATGCATGCCTGCCACAGAGAGACAGCTTTCTCCAGCCTGGACACTCCTGCTGGGTGACCGGCTGGGGGGGCACAAGAGGTATTTCAGAGTACCTCGGACTACACGGTTACTATGAGAAGGTGCACAAAAACATGCTATTGTTACTGTTCCTTGCATTGCTATCCTGCCCTTGTTTCAAAGATGTTGATCTAGCTAGGGACGCTCCCTTTGTTTCATCCCTGGAACAAAGAAAAAGGGCAAACAAAGTTACTACGGGAAGGCAAACAGAGCAGTTATAAGAAATTTAGGTCTGGATGCTCTCCGGCAACTGAAGGAAATATCATAGGGCTTTGAGCAGAATTCTCAGGGCAGAACTATCACTTTGCTTCACCCCATGACTACATCTGTGATGAAACCCCAGCCCCCAGGCCTGTAGCGAGGGGGTGGTTTTAGGGGTTCAACCCTCCCCCCCAAAATGTTTCAGATTTTTTTAAAAAAACCTGGTTTACTCATGAATTTTAACTGGTTAACCAAATCCCCATGCTAAGTCTATGAGATGCAAAAAATTAAGAGTCCCTCCAGAACTGCAAGCACTATCTCAAGCAAATATTGACAATTTATTCACACTGTCATTACTTGCAGCAATAGCCGATGTAGTGAAGCAACCAAGTTGGGTGTGTGTGTGTTGAATGCTCTCATTAAGGAGGCCAGACTTGGTGGAGGTGGTTGACAGGGGTGGAGCTGCAGCTATTGAAGGCTGCTCTGCCCCCTGCTGTGCTCTTTGCTTCAGCGTGAGCTAGGAGGCAGGCTTCAGACCTCCCCCCCACCAATTTTTCAACCCCCCCATCCCCCGCAAATTTTTCAACCCCTCCCGAAATTTTTTTCTGGCTACGGCCCTGCCAGCCCCCTTTTACATTGCCATATAAAATCCAGATTATTTGCTTTGAACTGGTTTATATGGCAGTGTAGACTCATATGGGGCGGCTCAACCCATTATGCAAAGTAAGCATTTGCAGTATAGTTGATTTTGCCCAGGGGCGCTCTTGAGGCGCTCTTGGGGGAAAATAGACCTTGACATATGCGGGTTGTAGTTACTGGGATGTATAGTTCACCTACAATCAAAGAGCATTCTGAACTCCACCAATGATGGAATTGAACCAAATATGGCACACAGAACTCCCACGACGAACAGAAAATATATATCAGTGATTGGTTGGGGGGGGGGGGGTGCAAATACTGTTTGCTTACCGTTGAAAATTACCTAGGGCCGCCTCTGCATATAATCCAGTTCAAAGCAGATACTGTGGATTATCTGCTTTGATAACCTGGATTATATGGCAGTGCCAAAGGAACCCTAGTTAAGTACTTGTACACTGCACAATATATAAGGATTTACATGGAAAGTCAGTTGGGAAAATCAGGTTGTAGGCCACTTCTAGAGTTCAATAAGGAGTAAACGATTGGAGAACAAAACATGGCAAAATCTGTGTATTTACTTTGGTTTTAACGGAGCCAAAATAAAACAAGCCATGCCTTACATTTGCACAGAGTTCATTTTTATTATTTTGAATAACTTATTTTGTGTGCACTTGTCAAGGGCAGAAGGAAGACATTATGAAAAACACATGCAACTGGAAATACTACTGACACCCACACTTCTACTTTTCAAAATAATACTCTTCCTGCTTGACAGGAAAAGTTCTACCCACCCTAGGTAATCAGGTTAATTGCTGTTAACAACCCTATATTAATAAAAGATGGGAACTGCTGTCTTTGCCAACAGTTTTATGTGGTTATATAAGACATAATTGCATCAAAGATTAAGAAGATAGGCTCCAGGGCTTGTGGAGGACGGCAGGTTGATCCAAAAGTTTTGGGGGATATGTGGAAGGGCCCTTCCACACGGTTATATAACCTAGAATATCAAGGCAGCTTTGAATTTGATTATCCGAGTGCATACTGCAATATAATTCATTTAAATGTGGATTTTATACAGCTGTGTGGAAGGGGCCTATGATTGAGTATTGGGGAGGCATGTGGTGTATTGGACACTGACACGGATCACACAATCGGCCGGCTACACAATTCCTTCCACTAATATAGATGATGTACATTTGCCACATTATTAATTTCTTCCCTTTTGGCTTATCATACCCAAGGGGGGAGGGGTGAAAGGGTAATAATGAAGTCTTAAGAAGGTTTCATTTAAATTTATTAGCTGATGTTCTTGCTATTACTCTTCTATTTTCTGCATTGAAGGTGGGAAAGAAAACTTCTCTCTGTCTGAGGTTTTGAACCAAGCCAACTTACCCATTATTGATTTCAACACGTGCAATCTCAAGAAATTCTGGGGGGCCAAAATCCAGTCTTCGATGATCTGTGCTGGAGTAATAGACACTACGAAGTCTCCAGCAGCCTGCCAGGTACTAAAATGAGTTGTTTATTCTTGCCCTATCTATGCCATCTGTTTCTTTCCTTCCATAATAATAATAATAATAATAATAATAATAATAATAATAATAATAATAATTTTTATTTGTACCCCGCTACCATCTCCCCGATGGGGACTCGGTGCGGCTTATATGAGGTCAAGCCCAAAACCCTTCCCTCTATCATTCCATTCTTTTTTTTCAAATTCCTCCCTTTTTGGTTTCTTTCTCTCTTCACCTGCTGAGCTGTTAGGAAAAGGACAGATGGCTCTGGCCAGTGGTAGGAACTGAACGGAAGCAGCATAAACTTGCAGATAGCTTCTCTTATGTCAAAATTAGACCTCCTACTGAAGATATTTGTAGATATTTTGTCTCTCCCTCTCAAACTTTGCACAGTGAAGACGCAATGCAAGGAGGACCTTACGTTCCTTTAATGAGTGCTATTTCTCTGGACATTTAATGTAAAGTTGCCATGTTTTGCTCACTCACTTTTTATAGAGCATCCACATCATGCCATCACAGCATCTCTGATCCAGAATCTCTAATGTTTCCCAAAAGGCAACTTACTATCCACATGCACAAATGACCTTCTCCCTGTTAAAAATTATTATTATTATTATTATTATTATTATTATTATTATTATTATTATTATTATTGGGTTGTTGTAGGTTTTTTCGGGCTATATGGCCATGTTCTAGAGGCATTCTCTCCTGACGTTTCACCTGCATCTATGGCAAGCATCCTCAGAGGTAGTGAGGTCTGTTGAAACTAGGCAAAAGGGTTTATATATCTGTGGAATGACAAGGGTGGGACAAAGGACTCTTGTCCTGCCAGTATGTTGTACATGATTACGCTCGCTGAAGATCAAGCTGGATGTTATCCAGGCAACCTGTGAACAGGATGCCTCACGGTTTCTTAAGCAGGGTTAATAGGTGCCAGATGGAGGTAGGAGATTTGCAGGCTCCTGGTACTAGGAGGAGAATAAGCTTAACTCTCCCACTGCATAGCTTCAATCAGTCAGCCTCCCCAACTCCTAAGTAATGCATTTAAGCTGAAACAAACACGTAGCAAATGTGGATTTGGTTGAAAACACCTCAATTGGGAAAGATCCTTTTCAGTGGGTGATCTCCCACCATCACCTCCAGGTTGACTCTCTTTCTCATTATTGTGTGCTACTACCGGCATCAGAAAACCCATTTTCAACAGACCTTTTTTTCCTTCTTCCAGGGAGACTCCGGCGGCCCCCTTCTTTGCCAGACTGAGAGAGATGCATGGGAAGTTCACGGGATTGTTAGTTTTGGACCAGTTGGATGCCAAGTGCAGAACAAGCCCACTGTCTTCACCAGGACTTCCGCCTACATTTCCTGGATTGAAGCCGTCAGGGTGCAGGACTTTTTTTTGTAAAGATAGGAGGCCAGGAAATCCTAGAAATGTCAATAAATAATATATATATAAATTTCAAAGTATGCTTGTTTGCCTTTTCATACCACAAAGGTTGTTGCTAGGTCAAGTGGCCCTCTGTAATGTCACTAGATTGGCTGTTGCTAGGTGTAGTGGTCTTATGGGATGTCACTGGGAAAGAAAGGTGACATGTGTATGCGGGAAAGGGAGGAGACATCATTGCCATGGAGACATTGTGAAGTAGGCCTTCTCAGAGCTGGAGAAGGGAGAAATTAGGCTGGCAGTGATCCCAATTATGCCTGGGTAACACCGGGTATGTATGCTAGTCTTCTATATATATAAAAAATGTTCTGTGCATAATGAGTACCTTAAAAACAAAAGAACCAATGAACGAAATAACACCAAATATGGCAACAAAATGTCTCACAACACAAGGAGTGACCATCACTCAGAAAATTATAATTTTGTCATTTGGGAGTTGTAGTTGTTGGGATTTATAATTCACCTATAATCAAAGAGCATTCTGAACTCCACCAATGATGGAATTGAACCAAACTTGGCACACAGAACTCCCCTGACCAACAGAAAACACTGGAAGGGTTTGGTGGGCATTGACTTTGAGTTTGGGAGTTGCAGTTCACCTACATCCAGAGAACACTGTGGACTCAAATAATGATGGATCTGGACCAAACTTGGCACGAATACTCAATATGCCCAAATATGAGCACAGATAGAGTTTGGGGGAAATAGACCTTGACATTTGCAAGTTGTAGTTACTGGGATTTATAGTTCACCTACAATCAGAGTATTCTGAACCCCACCAGCAACAGAATTGGGGCAAACTTCCCACACAGAACCCCATGAATAACAGAAAATGAGAGTGCCTTGGACCGTGAGAAGATCCAATCAGTCCACACTTCAGGAAATAAAGCCTGGCTGCTCATTGGAGGGGAGGATATTAGAGGCCAAGATGAAGTATTTTGGCCATATAATGAGAAGACAAGAAAGCTTAGAGAAGACAATGATGCTGGGGAAAATGGAAGGAAAAAGGAAGAGGAGCCGACCAAGGGCAAGATGGATGGATGGCATCCTTGAAGTGACTGGATTGACATTGAAGGAGCTGGGGGTAGTGACGGCTGACAGGGAGCTCTGGCGTGGGCTGGTCCAGGACGAGTAAGATGGTCTTCCATGATGGGTTTCCTTGTGGATTCGTAGGTGGCTGTGGAGCCCTATTCTTGACCCGCATCTTCTCCCACAGTGAGGGCATTGGTTTCCAGGTGGAAGGCGGTTCCGGTCAGGGTTGGCTTGACACGCCTTCCTCCTGGCATGTTTCTCTCTTTCACCCTCCACTCGTGCGTCCTTGAAATCTGCAGCACTGCTGGTCACAGCTGACCTCCAGCTGGAGCGCTCAAGGGCCAGGGCTTCCCAGTTCTCAGTGTCTATGCCAGAGATTTTAAGGTTGGCTTTTCCTGTCCACCAATGTTCTGTTTTCCGTTCTTAAGTTCAGAGTAGAGCAACTGCTTTGGGAGACGTGGTGCAATACCAGCTAGACAGTGTAATTTCTCCAGTGGTGTAGGGCGCAGACACCCCGTGATAATGCGGCATGTCTGTGGTGAGACATGTTCCACACTGGGCATGCATACTCAGCAGCAGAGTAGCATAGCGCAAGGGCGGATGCAGGCCAGGATTTCATTTCGGGGTGGGCTGAATTTTTTTCAGGGGGGGTTTTGGGGGGGGGGCTGAGTTTCGGGGGGGGGGGGGGTGAGTCTGAGTGAAAGAGGGTCTAGCCTAGCAAACCTTTTGTATCATTACCCCAATACCCCCATGCAGATGGGATATATTGATTATGGCGATCAGATCATGATATGAATAAACATAACACCCTCCCCAAAGACCTTAGACAGGCCCCTTCTTTGGCTATCTTCAGAAAGAACTTAAAAACCTGGCTTTTCCGATGCGCCTTCCCAGATTAGGAAATCTCCATTACAGAGTCCTACAAGCATTTTACCAGAACCAATGATTGCTGCACATCGCACATTGCACTTGCCCTAGAAACCCTTTATACACCTCCTGTCAAATCAGCACTTTTAATCCTTGTACCCACCTTTTTGGCCCGGCCCAGTTTTATTGTGTTTTAATGTACTGTGTCTGTTGTTCACTTTGCTTTATTTTGTTTTAATTGTTTGATTTGCTTGATTGTATTGTTGAGGCCTCGGCCTGTGTAAGCCGCATCGAATCCTTTGGGAGATGCTAGCGGGGTATAAATAAAGTTTAATAATAATAATAACAGTTTAAATAATGCAGCAGTAAGGCCTTTTCGCGAACCACCATGAGAATTTCGGGGGGGGGGGCTGAAGCCCCTCAAGCCCCGCCCCCTCCCCCCGCTACATGCCTGGGCGGATGTCTTCAGTGTGTCTGGTTGTGATCCTCAGGTTGTGCCATTAAACTTTCGTATGATATTGTTTCTAGCACCCACTTTTTGCTTGATGTTCAGGCAGTGCTTCTTGTAGGTCAGGGAACGGTCCAGAGTGACTCCAAGTTGTTGATGGATTTGATGGATTTTTTTTATGTCGGAGCCGGGATTCGAACTCGCGTCCTCAAGAGTTCTAGCCCAACGCTCAAGCCATGCGCCACGCGGCCTCCCTGCTGACGTCAAAGAACGGGAGGAGGGGGGGACAGGAGGAGACACGTGGCCAGACCCAGATTTCCGAAAGCGCGAGTGCGCATGCTCCCGGGTTTCCTCTCTCTTTTCGTCACACGGCTGCTTCCAGGGGGCGAGCGAGAGCCGTCCCTGAAACCCTCTGGGCCCGAAATCTCGCGAGAGTGTCACAGAGAGTGGGAACGCCTCCCTTTTCCGGCCGGAGCCTGCTGAGGTGAGGCGCCTTCGCCGTCCTTCCGAGGCCTGTCGCGCTTTCTAGCCGGACGGAGCCCGTCATTCGCCCTTGGTGAGTCAGGCTGCAGGCCTGGGGATGTGGGTTGGTTGTGTGGAGGCCCATTGCGGTCCATTACCCCGCTGGACCGGCGCTGACGTTTCCCACCAGGGCCAAAATGGCTCCTCAGGGCAGGCATTGCCCCCATTTTAAGGCCGAAATGTGAGGAAGTTGGATGTAGTCCAGGTGGTGTGGTGCATTTATCATGTCACTGAATGACAAAAATCCTATTGTTAGTCCTGGCTATTGTGGTTTTTAGTGCTGCCACTTTCTTCTTCTTTTTTTTTTTTGGGGGGGGGGATATTTCTTTTTCCCAAAGGGTATGATATTTATTATTTACTAGCCGTCCCCTGCCACGCGTTGCTGTGGCCCACATGGGGGTTCTGTGTGGGAGGTCTGGCCCAATTCTATCGTTCAGAATGCTCAGTGATGGTAGGTGAACTATAAATCCCAGCAACTACAACTCCCAAATGTCAGGATTCTATTTTCCCCAAACTCCACCAGTGTTCACATTTGGGCATCTATATATATATAAATGCTCTGTGCATAATGAGTATCTTAAAAGCAAAAGAACCAATGAATGAAATTACACCAAATTTGGCAACCAAACATCTCACAACACAAGGAGTGACCATCACTCAAAAAAAATATGATTTTGTCATTTGGGAGTTGTAGTTGCTGGGATTTATAGTTCACCTATAATCAAAGAGCATTCTGAACTCCACCAACAATGGAATTGAACCAAACTTGGTACACAGAACTCCCATGACCAACAGAAAATACTGAAGGGTTTGGTGGGCATTGACCTTGAGTTTTGGAATTGTAGTTCACCTCCATCCAGAGAACACTGTGGACTCAAACAATGATGGATCTGGACCAAACTTGGCACAAATACTCAATATGTCCAAATGTGAACACAGATGGAGTTTGGGGAAAATAGACCTTGACATTTAGGAGTTGTAGTTGCTGGGATTTATAGTTCACCTACAATCAAAGAGCATTCTGACCCACCAATGATGGAATTGGGCAAAACTCCCACACATAACCCCCATGACCAACAGAAAATACTGTGTTTTCTGTTGGTCCCCCCCTGGTGACCCCACCCCCCTGGTGACCTCTCCCCCTGGGGCCTTGATTTTCCAGGTTCAGAAATTCTACCTTAAGGCCATCCAGTCCAACTCCCTTCACCAGGGCAAGAAAACATAATAAAATCCCTCCTGACAAAGGGCCATCCAGCCATTCACACACACACACACACAGAGGGGAGTCTCTCTTTTGGTATCAGCCATTGATTGAGGTTCTGGGTTTGAGCCTGCCACTTTTGGACTCTCGCTTGCTGAGGTGTTCCAGCGAGTGTCTCTGTAGATCTTAGAAAACTATTTCTTGATTTAAGTCGTTGATGTGCTGGCTGATACCCAAACGGGATGAGCTGGAGATGTCACTGCCTTGGTCCTTTCACTATTGGCTGCTACTTCCCAACTGTAGGGATGATGGAGATACTTGCTCTGGATTGGGATCTTGAATCCTTGTTAACAGCTTATTTTAACTTTTGTGTGCTGTGTGAGTCCCCCTTCGGAGGGAGAGGGGTGAGGTATAGGAAATAAATAAATATGTGTTAAATGTGTTTTTCAAGTGTGTTGATACAGCCAATGGGTTAATCAATAAAATGTACTACTATTTATTTTGTGTCAAAAGCATTGTATAAATAAATAAGCTTGACACTGCTTTAACTGCTATGGCTCAATGCTGTGGGATCAGCAATGGGAGCTGTAGTTTTATAAAATCTTTAGCCTTCTCGTTCAGAGAATGGTGGTGCCTCAACAAACTATATATCTCGGAGCCATGGCACTTACAGTGGTTTCAAATGGCATTGATTCTACAGCGTATGTAGATGCACCCAAAGTTTTCTCCTGGAAATTGTTCCGTGACTGATGGAGACTCTAAGGCCCCTTCTCCACCCATATAATGCTACGGAATCCTGAGTTTTGTAGTTTGACATCACACCACCGTTATTTGACAGAGAATGCTAAAGACCTTGTAAACTGCAACTCCCAAGATTTTATAGCATTGAGTCATAGTAGTTAAAGTTGTGTTTGCATTGATTCTTTAGTAGATGTACCTATAGCCTTAAAAAAGGTGTGATTAGGTTCACCTTACGGTCATCATAAGAGATTACTTAAATGCACACAACAACAAAAAGTTGATGTGCTTATCTTAGCAATCTCTAGAAGGGAAAAATGGTTTTTGGTTTGTATGGAAACAAATGAAAGCAGTTTCTGCATTTATCATGACTTCAGCTCCTCTGGTATCAAAATTAAGGGACTTCTAGGAATGAAAATGATGAAACTTCAATTTCATGTAGTAAAATATACAGTAGCTGCCCACATCACAAAAAAACATTTGTCCAGAAAGCTCTATGTGTATGGTAGAATTGAGAGTACTTCATTTCACCTGCAGCCTTTAGTGATAACATAAACTATTCTCAAAGCTGTAGTTGGAAGAAGTCTGACTCAGTATAAGAGCTTTACTTTTGGAAAAAAAAGAAATCTCCAGTGTGCATTCACTGAGTCATTCAATGTCAAATGTTTACTTCAGGTTAGGTTGTATTTTTGGACTGTGGGCAAATGTGGCATTAGTGAATTATTTGGGATTTTACAGGTAATTACTTGGACTTTACATTAATACTCTTATTTGCTTCTATCTTCCTCCTTTCATCTTTGTGTTAGATTAAGGTTAACCAAAATAGATTCTATTTTTTACTTTGTTCAGTTTCTTAATAAAAACACAAACAATAGAAAACTGTCAGTGGTCAAGTGGGCTGTTGAGCCAGTAATGTTATGTTTATGTCTGTTTGAGACATGATATGTTTTGAAAATGGTGTAAGATTTGTAGCCCCTTTAAAAGATTTTGTATGAAGGATTGCACAGAGGATTAGGGTTTTACTAGAGAAACACATAACAGCATACAGCGGGGGGGGGGGGGGGGGGGGGGGGGGTCTCATATCCAGAAGGTGTGGTGGTCAGGTCCCCTCCCCTGCCAATATGAGTAATATGGACCCTGCATTATTAAATGGTGAAGATTTGAACTTGAATGCTTCAGTGGGTCCAATTGAATATTACTGCCACTTATATTAATATGGGCTGTGATGATCTAGGGCAGGGGTAGGGAACCTTTGGCCCTCCAGCTGTGGTGGACTTCAACTCCCACAATTCCTTGAGGCTCGGCATTCGCCCCAAAGGCTTACCTTGGCCCAATGCCGAGCCTCAAGGAATTGTGGGAGTTGAAGTCCACCACAGCTGGAGGGCCAAAGGTTCCCTACCCCTGATCTAGGGTCACTGGAAATCATGGATCTGAAGAACCCAATGTAATATGCTTTTTTTACTTTTCACTGTTTCCTGAATCTGAAGAGCGTTTTATGTTTGTGCATCCTCAGTCTCTGGAAGTTTGTTCACCAATTTGATTTTTGATTTTTTGGTGTCAGGGGCAACTTGAGAAACTGCAAGTTGCTTCAGGTGTGAGAGAATTGGCCATCTGCGGACGTTGCCCGGAGGACGCCCAGATGTTTTGATGTTTTACCATCCTTGTAGGAGGCTTCTCTCATGTCCCTGCATGGGGAGCTGGAGCTGACAGAGGGAGCTCATCCGCACTCTCCCCGAATTTGAACCTCTGACCTGTCGGTCTTCAGTCCTGCCGGCACAAGGGTTTAACCCATTGCACTTCCGGGGGCTCCTTATTATAGTTGAGCAAGGGTCATTTTCTTGATGAGGAACTGATTCTCAGTGCAATGAATATATAGCTCATGCACCAACTATATTTGGGCTCTGCAGTTCTTGCTTATCATATTAGCTATGTGTTCCAATATTAGATATTGTATATCATCATGTTATTTTGCCCTGATCACAAAAATTAGAGACTTTAAACACATGCCAATAAGAGGGAGCAACAATGATTGCCTGTTTTAAAATTACCAATCAAGGACAGTTGACTACCCACCAAGGCAGCCCATTCCACAGTTGAACAGCTACTACTGTCCTGAAACTCTTCATAACATTTTAGACAGAATCACCTTTCTTATAATTTTAATGTATTGATTTGATATGCTGAAATCCTGGTTTGCTCAATTTTCCATATGACAGAGTAGAGGTGTTTTGTGTCTGTCACAGTGAGCCATATCTGATGTATCAAAATTGCTTGGAGCAAGGAAATGCCACGGTTGCAATTAGCGAGCTACCTGTAGCAAGTTTAGACACTGGGGAGAATTCTTTCTTTCTTCCAGACCAGAAAAAGTGACGTAGTATTTTACAAGATAGCCTGTTCACATATAATATATGGGAAATTTGCTTGCTCTTACTTTCCTGTAGTTTGCTTCATTAGTGTATCGAATCTAACTATTCCATGGAGCTGTTGTAATAAAACAAATGGATCAAAGCTTCTGATCATACCAAACTAATAAGAAGCATTGCTGTTAATAATAATATTTTTTGCTATTAATAAATTGTTCTCAGGTCTGCCTTGAATATGAAGATACCTAAAGGGTGTGTAGTCTTGTCCCTCCAGCCAAGAATATGTGTGCCAACACAGACCTCTTCAATGTGTAAATGATCAGATTTGAATTGTGGTCTAGCAAACCTTTAGGAAAATTATATTCACATGTTTGAGTAATATGTGCATTTTCCTATAGTTACCATTTGCTTTCTGGTACTGTCTGTTAACAATCTGGGATGGGGAAATATTAGGGGAAGCATTTTATTTTTTGTAAAGGAGACGAGTTCTTAATTAGGTTTAATAAAACATGCTAGTAGGCTGTGATGCAATGCCATTTGAAGCATTTTATAGTATTTTCTTTTGTGCTTGTAAGCTGATTCTTGCTGAACTAATTAGGTTATTGTAAGCATATTCCTTCCCTTAAAAACACTTATAAAATTCATGAGGTTGCCATAAGTGCACAGGCAACTTGAAGGCACACAATTCTAGAACAATGTAAAAAGAGCAATTGCAGTCCTGTGTCTTAATGT